TTTTTTTTTTTCCTTTCATCTAGGTTTTTAAAACTCCGGGGAGTCTACGGGGGGGTCAAAATTTTTGTTATTTTTGGCCTAGGACGGACCGTTTCCGAGATATTTCAATCTAAAGCAAACAATCGTCACTTGATAGTGGAAAGTGGAAACACGCACAAAACCAGAATAAACCAGTTTACGCTGTCCGTACCATACACTACTACAAACGCAAAAATTTCTCCAAGCTAATTTACCTGTAGCAGCTGTCCACGCGGACGCATCGCTCACTCAAGTAGGAGAGAGACAGATGTCGAACGCTGCCGAACGCGGAGGCCGATTGTGCCTCTTTGTCACTCGTTCCGCGCTCTCGCTTGCACTTCACGCCTTAAATGGAACGCCTCAGAGCGAGGTAACGCCGCATGAGTCATGTTTTTTCGTCCGTGCAGCCGGCTCCATCGAATTATAAGACGTTGTCACGTCAAAAAATGTTCAGCTATCTATAGTGGGAGAGCCATGCTTTCGGCACATCTATATACGAGTATATATCGCAGTCCCCGACGAACAAAATCGTAATAGGAAAATAACAATTTTACAGGAGCAAATAAAAACTGAATATCTTGAATACTATCAAGACTAAAAAGAAGATTCTTTTATCAAAAATAAGGGAATATTTTTTTGCACTAGATTTTTACTAAATTTTTATCATAAATTTTCTTTATCAGTAAGAAAATTGTGAAAATGTCCATTACTGAAATAAGCTATGGAAAAAATTAACGCAAACTAACTTTACGATAGTGTTCGACTGTAATCACAAATCGGTGTTGCTGTAGTAATCGTTCATTATGATATTGTTCCATGGTAAATATGAATATACTTTATATTCGTAAAATGACATTGCAATCGTATTCGATGATATAACTGACTTTAATATTACGGTAAACATAAATTACATGCTTATTCGATGATCATTTTTAGGTGTTATAACCATTTCGGTACCTATGTATAAATTCTGATTCTGATTCTGTCATTTTTCCCTCGAACAATATGGTAATAGCCGCTTACTCTAAAATGTTGACTTTTGAGATTTGGTAATAGGTTTTTGCGTTATTGATCGTGTAAATATTTCACTTATGTTATACGTTGAACAAAAACATAAAGATCATTATTGAATGGATAAATCCAAAAGTATTCATCGCCCGATCATAAAAAAACTCAATGATTGTAATAGGGTGTGTAGATAACGAATATCTAATAAACCCGATTCTATCGTAATAGCCATTACCATAGTGTTCGTCGGGGACTGCGATATATAAGAGATTTCCACGTATATAGTCACTCATCACGATATCTCTGGAACCATTAGAGCTAAAGACTTGAAATTTATTAGGAATATTCTTTTCACCGAGTAGAGGTCAGCTAAGAACGGATTTTACGAAATTCAAAAAAATATAAAAATTAAATAATGTAAATAGCAAAACAACGTTTGCAGGGTCAGCTAGTATTATTATAAAGGAAAGGCTCGACCCTATGGATTGCCCATACTATCACTAAAAAATAAGTCTTTAAAAGAAGCTGAAACATCCCCCACTCTTAAAATACTTAGCTAACTGTTTTAAAAACAAGAAGAACAGAATTTGGCGTATTGCCGAACTGATACGACTCTCAAACCATTAAGAAAGGAGCATGCTCTCACTGCAAAGACCGACAACGTACTCGGGTGTCCTTAAGAGGTGGTAGTCACTTCCCGTCTATCATAAATAAATAAATCTATACTAATATTATAAAGCCGAAGAGTTTGTTTGTTTGTTTGTTTGAACGCGCTAATCTCAGGAACTACGGGTCCGATTTGAAAAATTCTTTCAGTGTTAGATAGCCCATTTATCGAGGAAGGCTATAGGCTATATATCATCACGCTAAGACCAATAGGAGCGGAGCACCAATGAAGAATGTTTCAAAAACGGACAAAATTTATTACTATTGAGAGACGCAGACGAAGTTGCGCGGGTCAGCTAGTATTTAATAAATACACAGACCCATCTAGTTTCAAACTAAACTAAACTAAAAAACTAAACTATGAAAGCTGGATTGACTGATAGAATACTTATATACTTGTCTTGTCCGTGTGGTGACGGATTAAGAATACAAATTGTCACCACCCCAATTCATCCCGTGGGTGTCGTAAGAGCCGACTAAGGGAGCAAACTAAGCAGGACACACCACTGCAAAGAGAAGGAAAACTTGAAACAAACCCTATACCAACCCGTCTGGCCAGCGTGGTATAGTAGGCCAAAACCTCCTTTCTAATCAGAGGCCTATGTCCAGCAGTGGACTAGTATAGGCTGTTGATGATGATACTTGTCTTGTAAATACTTGAAAAAAATTACCCAAACTCCGAGACAAATATTTGCAGATCATACAAATATTTGGTCCGACCCAGGAATCGAACCCGAGACCTCAGCACAGTAGTCGCATACTCTACCACTGCACCACCAAAGCAGTCATAAAAAAAACTGTTACGTTTAAAAAAAAATATGCTTCCTTTTTTTACATTCATTCATAACGCCTAGTAGATAGATTAATGCAATGAATTATAGATCAAAGATCTATTCTATTATGCGATAATATTTGTAGGAGCTATCGATGCAACTTATTTGTGAATTTTTTCATGACAAATGTTTTCAAATTAATAAAAATCAAGATTTGAGTTATGACAAATTTGAAGAGATTATCGTTATTATCGCGTCTTGACAAACGTAGTGTAGGACGCCCACAGGCCAGATGGAGTGACGATTTGTGCAAGATGGCTGTCAGGTGCTGGATGCGAGAAGCCCGAAATCGATCTAAGTGGCGTGCAATGGGAGAGGCCTATGTCCAGCAGTGGACTGCGATAGGCTGATGATGATGATGATGATCGTAGAATCATCATATTGTTCCAGAGAGCTAATACAAATTTTGAGCTAATTAATATATTATATGTATATATATTAGATAGTTTACTATTTTAGTTGAGATATTAAGTATTGAACATATGAAATCAGTTGTGTGAAATATTACATGTGTTTCGCATCTCAAATAAAATATCTATAGGTTCCGAGAGATTCAATGTTCCGAATTAGTTCAGACTCGCCCTGACTTGTAACAGTTAGTTAAGTGTTAGTTTTCGGCCCCAAAGGGGTCTAGAACTACTATTTAAGTACGCATGCTAAGTATTGCTTTTCTGTTATTAATCTTGTAGTACCTAACATTACTGAGGACACCTTTTTATAGAGTAATCGAGATTTTTAGTAAATGGGGTTACACACCTTTTAGTCAACATTGTAGATTCTTTTTATATGAGTAACATAAAAAGCAAAATTTATACTCTCGATTGTCGGCACTTTGTGGTTGATGGAACTTGTTGAAATACATATATACCTACTCACTTGTACTTAATATTCCACTATTTAATAGCACTATTTTATTAAGGCTCCTGCAAAAAGTATAATAGCAACTTTGTGTGTATTGCATTAGCAGCTGTTTATGTGAAGGCGTATTACGTCTCGTAAATCTCCATTACAAGTTATTACTTAATAACTAGCTTTTGTTTATCTTTATGGACATATAAACATATTTCTAGAACAGAGAATTAGCATTTCCATTCAACGTATCAAAGCTTTTTGGGAACGCTATCAGTAGGGGACGATGCGGAGGATTTTTTTATGAACATAAATAGACCGTATGTAAAAATGATTTAACATATTAAGTTTATTTATAAAGTTATATTATCATGTTACATATATACATATATAGAAGTTTTACTAATAATTGCATCTTTAAATAGTTGCTTAGAAAGAATTTCAAGTACAACAAGTAGGTATTTAGTTTTCTGAAATAAGACTTAAATGTGAAGCTCATCTTCCGTTTATGTACATCTCTTTAGAGTTTATGTAAAAATTATTTGACAAAATGTGGTTTTTCTGAGGAAATTGTAGATAAACATATGGAAACTTTAAAATGCTTAGGTACTCCGTAATACGACTGTCCACATGATTTTTTGTACTTAGGGGCCGGCGCTATACTGAATAATATAAGCATTGACAATAAAAAAATATCAAAGTTACCTAGATACTATTAGATACCTTAAATCGACTGGCTAAGGAAAATTCTAAAGGCAGGAGGTTGTTCTTTTTGACTGAACACGAAGTTATGTGAGAAACAAGCACGACACACATCATGAATCACAAATACTCGTATGTATTTTATCAGTATACTTAGATTTATGAATTTGTTGATATCAGCTAGAGAACTTATGATACAGAATGTTTAGGAATATTAGCCAAACATAACACATCTTTTTGTTTACGAATACTTAGAATAATTATCAAAATTAAATATCTAATTTAATAAATATCTGAAAATACGTAGATATAATATAGAGTATTTTATAGTTAGAGTAATGTATTTACATGTGTAATTAGTTACATTTACATTTAATATTATGTATACAGTATAATTCAAAACAGTAAATAAAATATTGTATAAAGTTCACCACACTAATAAGTGAATATGAAATCTCTAAAAATATTTGGTACTCGGTTTCGTTTGTCATACAAAGCTATTTCACTATTTACCTTCACACATTTCATAAATATTTACAAATAATTATACGTGATTGTCGGCAAAACGCAAAAGCAATTAATCCAATTTTTAAACAATAACATTATATCGATCACAAAACAGTTCGTGTTATCGGTGTGACGGAGGGAACGGCCGACAATTGCCTTGCAACACTATTTTTACACTGATCTTGGACGGACGCCATCAGCTGAGCTTACGCCAGTTCACTACTAACCCGACTGAAATACGTACCCGCTCCCACGAAATTTCTAAAATATCCCCCTAACTAATAACCTCGACCGAGAACCATCAATGAGAACCCGTTTCAATGAGATATGTTTTAACCCGTGTATTACTATTAACCGCCAAGAATCGTGAAGTTTCAGTGCGTGAGAATGGCGAGGTGAGCGCGTACCGCGTCGACCATGGTGCGCTGTCGATGGACGCCAGCTCTAATTTTAATCTGCCTGCCTATCCTTGCCACAGTGATAACCGCATTCCGTGTCCGCGATTTACCTAAATTTGAAGATAGTGTAAAACTCGATAGGAAACAAAAGTGTGATGACTGTGATGTGAAGTTTGGTCATAAGTTGCATAGTATTAAAACGGAAAGTGATAAATACAGGAACGAAAATATTAAGAAAGTAATTAAACAGCATGATATCGACCAAAAGTCTGGCAGTAAGTTTGATACTATTAATGAAAACGATGACAATTATATCATTTTAAAAGGAAAGTCAGAATTAAAGGACGATTATCTAAGTGCTAGTAAAAAAAATTTTGATACAAGTAGCCACAAAGTTCCAAGTTTTAGCCACAAAGATGTTGACGATAGAATTATTGCACAAAAATCTAGTTCAATACAGAAGACAAAAATTTCAGATATAAAAAGTAGTGACACAAAGAGCTCGACAAGAAAGGATACTATTTTAAATAGTGTAAAATATGATGCTAGTCGACGTCAAGAAAATGACGACTTTAAGGATGATAAAAAAACGGTGCCACTGAAATCAAAATTATTGGTAAAAAATGATGAATCTAAAAGAACCGACAGAAATGATAAACCAACAAAATCTATAGATAAGGATAGTTTTGATCATAATAAAGAAAAAATTGAAGCTAAGCTCAAACTTTTAGATACTAAGAAGATTGAGCATAAATTAAAAGATGAGTCTTTTGAAGTTAGCGATTCTAGATCGATATCAAAAGAAATAGAAGAAGACGATGAGGATGACGATGACGATGAAGATGACGACAATGATGACGATGATGATGACGACGGAGCACTATCAAGTCTCTGGGAGACATTTAGTATGTGGGGGCTTCATATTGATCCTAGCCTCAAACCTGACGAAAAAAAAGAAAAGCAATTGATCCAAAAGATCAAAACTACAAAACAAAAAAATGACACAAAAGACACAATCACCGTTCCTATAGAAGGTTTGCGTAAGGTTAAAGAAACCACGAAAAAGTTGGAAATTAAACCAATGATTTCCAATTTAAGAGAAACCGTACAAAAGCCGGTTACTAAGACAGTCACACCAAAAAAGGTACTAGATCTTAAAAATGATGATGATGAAAATGATAAAGTCGATAAGGATGATGATGATGCCGATGACGAGGATAATAAACACATGTCACAATTAAAATATATGCCCAAAAATAAAATTAAAAAAATTGATGAAAATCTAATAACCAAAAACAAAATTACTAAGTTAGATGTAAAAACTGCTGAGGACGATGATGATGACGATGCCGATTTTAAATTATTAGAAGAAAAATATGCACTTAAGAGTAGTCAAAACATAAAAAAAGTGGCGAATCCAAAGAAAATTGTGAAACTTATTCAAGATAGTGATGACGCTGACGATAATGATGAAGATGATGAAGGTGACAACAAGGAAAGTAATAATGTCATTAAAAAGCTTTCAAATAAGTCTAAATCAACATCCAACAAAGATGATAAAAAGAATATGATTACCAAAACAGCATTCAAAATTGAAAATGGAAGTGATGATGACGAGGATGGCGATGATGAAGATGATGACATCGATAGCAATGATAGTGGTCAATTATTGAATAAAATCTCAATGGAAGGTAAAAAGTCAACTGAAAAAACGTCTCTGTCAGAAAATAAAAAAGAAGATAAGATAGAAATTAACAAACAAGTAGTGAAAGATAATAAAAAAAATATAAAACAGGAGGAGATGGTAAAATCTAAACACAAGAAGGAGAATTCGTCTTATTCAAATAAAGAACACGACGTTAAAATTGCTAAACCAGGTGCAAAAAATGAAACCACTACCAATCAATTGCCAAAAAATGGAGACATAAAAGAACAAAAGGAAAGTAAATCTTTGGATGATAAATCTAAAAAAGAAACTGATAAGATAGTCCAAGCAAAAGATCTCAAATTGAAAGAAAAGATAACTAAAGCACCTCAGCGTAGTCAGCCAGACACGGTCGGACAAGAACCTGTGCAAACTGGTTATGAAAAAGATTCGGTAGATGGCCTTAATATGAATGACATTAAAAAGGAAATTAAAGCCCAAATTCGCTCAAACCAAGAGGATAAAAAGTCTGATAAATCAAAAGAAAAACTAAGAGAGAGTGCAGCAATCTCTTCGTCAACTGACTCTAATATAAAACACGTTACGGATGCTTTACATAGACGGAATTTACTCAAAAGTGATTTTGAAGATTTCTATGCATTTTTTCCAACTTTTGCTCCAAACTTTTCACGTATCCACAACCCGGAATGCAGGCGCCATGGGCAGATAGTATTGAGGCAATTACGCGGTACAAAATTATGGGCTTTAAACAGTAAGTCTTATTACTTTTCTACAAATGTTTGGCTTACAAAGTAATTCAGAGTCAAACTTTTAGTTTTATTTTAGGATTAATATCGCCTAACTGAAACTAGGTATTTATGTATATTGGCACCGTTTCAGAGATTTGAGTAACAGATATTTCGCTTAAAAATATAATATATACATTTAACTATACGGTACATTCTTAATTAATCGAGGATTTTTTTCTTGATTAAGTGTAAAGTATACAGTCAAATTTAAATATTCAAAAACACATGTAGATGTTCAAATCTTTATACTCATAAATTGTACTCAAACGGCCTTTGTAATGAGCACTTAACAAACTTGTGGCCTTGACGCGCTTCTGGTTTATACCCTGGGGGCTATGCATTGTTAAACAACACAGGAATTTTTCATTACAGTGCTCGATGCTACGGCGAAAATTCCCTCGGGGATACTTCAAGGTAATGGTATCCAGCTTGGTGACTTTGACCAGTGTGTGGGAAGCCGTGCTCGGGTCCAGTTAGAAAGTGGGAGTGTCGTGAAAGTTCAAGGGAAATATTGTTTGGCTCGCCTTGACATAAAAGCGGAACATCCAGAGCTGGAGACGCCTGTGCATTTGGCGCAAGCCAAAAACTTGATGAGAAGCAGGATAGATGATGTGAGTTTTAGTCGATAATACTTTGATTTTATTTAGTATTATGTAATAAATATAAATAGCTGCGAACATATATTATACTCGTAATACGGAGGGACACCACGGCCCACAAAAAAATATATTAAGAATTGGAGGCACTTAAAATCCGTTAAAGCACTTGTGACTCATGAATTGCAGGTAACTATGAGCGGTGGTAGTCACTTACCATCAAGTTTAAAAGCAATAAATTGACACATCACATAACCCTGGCTTAGCAGTCGGGAACATTAAAGCAGGTCAGTCACAAATATACGCCTAAAACTTTTAACACCCAAAAACCGATTTTGAAAGTACAGCTAAAATTTCATAGCAAAGTTCAATTAAGATGTTTTTATGTCGCTTTGATTAGCTTGGTCTGTATCTATGTTTTAAGTAACGGAATCTTTGAACGTATTGTTTCCTAAAACGTCGGATAGAATTGTCGTGTTTGAGATATGTGAAGTTATTGTTGTTATTTTTGTTGAGTTGAAACTTCGCACACAAGTACCAAGGATAGTACTGGTATAATAATTCGATTAGCCGATTATCCTGATCTATGATGAATCTATGATGAAATACCTAAAAATACGGTAGTGTCTTTTGCTACGTACTAAGAGTCGTGTGTTCAAGAAATGTGTGACTTACTTACTTGTTACTTTTTTAGCCTTTAATAAACATTATTAATAAAAACATTATTAATAACTAAAAAAGTATTTTTTTTTTTTCAAAGACAACACTCGCGCTAGGAATATATCCTGTGTCGCGGGGGACTTTGCAAACATACATGAAACGGACACAAAGAACACCCAGACTCAGAACAACAATTTGTGGATCACACAAAGTGTCGTCCCATGTGGGGTTTGAACCCACAACACTTGGCGTTGTATTAAGCGGCGTGGCGACCGCTTAAACAACTACGCCATCCGTGCAGTTAAAATTACAGTTTAAAAAAGCTAAAAAAACACGTTTTTGTAACTAGCCGAACTAAAAAGTAGAAAATATTTTTTAAAAGTTAAAATAAAATACATTTTATCGTGAAAATATAATAAAGATATTTTAAAGAAAAACTTTACTTTTACCAATATCTGTCAATTATTATAAATATTGACATCGAGCGCCGCACGCATTTTTAGTTTAAGTTAATGCACTATCTCCTTGAAAGTAGTACTATTTTATTGTATGTAAGGTATCTCTCTATATGTTTCTTTGTATCCCTGACAACGTATTTACAATGTTATATGGTCGTCGCGTCGGCTGAGTGGTTCAGGGCTGACTAAAAATTGATTTGGAGTGAATCTTATTTATTTGAAAAGTGACTGGGTCGAGTGAGCTGTAGATTTTAGGTCTTTTTTATTATTTCAAAAGAAATAAATTTAAATAATAAGAACTTTAGAACTAATCACCAAGTATTCATGAAGATGCCAAAAGGCGATTGATACAAAAGTCTCTTTATATGTAGAAATAGTGCCAAAAATTAGTATACATTAAGCATTTAAATTTGAATTAAGAAACAAACATTTTAAAAAAAGAGAACACCAAACGCTAAGCGTTAACATGCTTTGTTTAGCCAGGTCACTTTGTACCGCGATTTTCAACGTTGAGTTGGGGTGTCTGCGTGCCAGCTGTCTGCAACCCCGAAGATGCTGAAGTCATCATCAAAGACGCTATCAAACACTACCAGAAAACCAGCGGAGTCGTCGTACGAGTTAAAGTTGATGAACAGGACTGTTACGTTGAAGAGGATGAGTGGTGGAAGAACTGGATTGAACTGCCCGTTATCTTGACACTGTGAGTTTGAAACTACTACAACTGATAAAATACATGAACGACATAAGAGTCACATATAACGCTATTTGCAATTTGTTTAATGTTAAGAAATAATTTTCTTTATTATATTCCTAATATTTCAGATCGTTCTATGGCGTCGTTGTTCTGCTTGTACTTGTGGCGACGCTTCAAGACTTTTTTGCTAGAAGAAACGAAGGTGAAAGTGAAGGGGTGGATAAAAAGACAAAGTCTAATAAAGAAGAAAGGAAAAAACAAGAAAAGGATGTTGCCAGTTCGAAAAAATTAGGTAAAATATGAAGCAAAATAATTGACTGTTTATTTTCAATTTGGAATGAGAAATCCTCCTTGCATAGTATGTTTTAAAAGTACTTATTAGTACAATAAAATAATTAACTGACTTCATTTTCATCATCATGTTATAAATAGTTGCGTCATGATCATTTGGAATAAACTGTATTCTTCATATCTCAATTTTCTTTTTTAACCGACTTCAAAAAAAATATAGTCGAATTGAGAACCACCTCGGTTCTCAATTCGACTATATTTTTTTTTTTTATGTTTCTTACCTCAGAACTTTTGACTAGGGCAACCGATTTTAATGATTCTTTTTTTATTTGAAAGCTGGTGCTTCCCGTTTGGTCCCATTTTAATTTGGTTAAGTTCTGATGATGGCATCCATGAGAAAACCTTATTAGTCTTAAATTTGCATTCAGTATGTTCGCGACAAACAGACGAATAACTCAATATCACCCCAACCGATTTCGATAATTCTTTTTTTATTGAAATGGTATTAATGGTAACTTTATAGGTACTTTGATGAGAGTTTGGTTAGATTCTGATCATGGGATCCATGACAAAGTAACGGAACTCTTCAATTCTTAGGAGCAAATTAACGATACGTGACTGAATCTTTTATAGGCTATCCAGATATTTGAGTGACAAGATGACTCCAAAAAAAAATAGAATCATCAAAATCGGTTCACTTAGTCAAAAGTTCTGAGGTAACAAACATAAAAAAAACCTACAGTCGAATTGAGAACCTCCTCCTTTTTTTGAAGTCGGTTAAATAACAATAATTGTAACTACATTATATTATCGTAATAATTTGATTGACTTTTAAGTAGTCTAATATTTTTCATTTCATTTTACTTAGAACTTAAAAAAATATTTTGATCGTTGTTTGTTATTCATAGGTAACGATATGTTGAGTTAGATTTGAAGTGGGTAGGTACCTACCTACCTTCTTGCGTGGTAAACACATAGATCGTACCTACATATTGATGAGTAGAAAAAGTAAGTTGATTATTAAGTTGTAGAAGAATATGCATTTATTTCAAAACGGTTGCTATCTAACGGGTCCTATAGTTCTAAAAACGAGGAAGAAAAAAACTTCTTGGAGTCCGTTATAAATGGTAATTGTATACTTCATTTCAAATTTAGGGTTTAGAGTGAATTCAAAAATAGATGTTTGATTTTTATAGCTTTAGCAGCAATAAAAGCAAGAATGAATTATTTATAACTGTGTTTTGTAAACAATAAACGCATTCATACACTGAGGTATACCAGTTGCAGACTTGGAACGTTATATTTGTGGAACAGCAATTTATTTCTACAGATCCCGTATAACTGCAACAAAATAAGACTCTGTTTCTCTCTGGTTTTATTTACCACACGGAAAGTAATTTTTAGCGGTTTTATTAGGAATCGATTGATCTAAGAGTATAATCTTAAGTATTTTTTATCATAAACAATTAAATGATGAGTGTCAAGCTTGTAAAAAATACACAAGTGTATTTAACCTTCTTTAAAATAATTACGGCGTCAATCAAGTTCACTGCATGCTGGTGAATTAGGGGGTCACCTGTTAACATCACAGCACACACAGTTGCAGTCGTTTATAATATGCTTGACTCGTAAGAATTTGGAATCGTCACTTTACTTATGGTCCTAGTTTTAAAGTCTATTATCAACATATAGGTTTATACGAATCGTTAATGTAGGTCGTAATTGGTGAGATATGATCGTCACTAATTAATCGCCATTCTGACGCTGTTAACCTTACACCGTCACCGTTAAGAAACAACATAGACGTTAGATATACACACAGCAAACGAAATACCTGGTAAGATGTATATGTGTGTGTTATCCCGTTCAGTATAAGTTCACATGCGTGTAATTTGTAAGCAACTAGTTTCTTCACATTTGCAAATTATCATTGTTTAAAGGCTATTCTGCGTTATTGCTTTCATTGCTCTTGTAACAGTATACATTAAAAACATAGGTAATTTGTATACTTATTACATTAGTAATTTGTACGTTAAAAATCACAGGTAAATACTTCGTACTACTGACCAGGTATTTCTGCCGTGTATATGTATGAATTCTTGGATTTTATTGCATTTCTTGCCATTTCTTATGTAAAATGCAACCTAAAATGCGGGATTTAAATAAATATCGAATTTCCTCTAAATGTTTATACGAGTATAGCGCTCTCTTTTTCCCTGCAGACAACTTCATAAGCTCCTTCTCCCTCTACCACACGCTTGACAAGCTGGTGGCTCCTGGGACCACTGACGATATTGCCTGCATCCACGGTGTCAGAGCAATAGCCACTATTGCTCTGCTCATTGCACATAAGTTTATGCCGGTCGCTGTGATGCCTTACACTAACAGGCTGAAGATTACCGAGGTAAGAAACATATAATGCCTACATAACTACGTTTAAATAACACATAATAGTTTTAATTAATGTAATTCTTGCTTTTGTTCTTGGTTTCGCTCGCTTAAAAATTATGTCTCAGAAATATTGTTCTCTTTTTTTATGTAAAAGGTACTCTATATGCTTTTCTGTGCACCAACTAACATGTAAAAGAAAAACTTATTATTGTATTTTTTAAATTGGACTTACGATTGTTTGTTACTTATGGTTGTTTTCAAAACTGCACAGGTATTTTGTTGACAGACAGACAAATGTATACCTTAAGTATTAGTGAGAAGAACTTGTTTATATAATCTGGAGATACCCGGGCCACCGAATTTTGACTGTTTTAAACGGAACTTAAACTATCATCATCATCATCGCTTTTGAACCATGATAATAAAAGTATACTACTACCCTATAGTTCTATACAACCATTTTATTTTGGACAAAGAATATTCAGATTCATCGGATATCTACACTAATATTATACAGCTGAAGAGTTTATTTGTTTCGTTGAAGGTGCCAATCTCAGGAAGTACTGTTTCGATTTGAAAATATACATACACACTAGCTGACCCGGCAAACGTTGTATTGCAAAACAAAAAAAATTAGGGATGGGTCACCCTTACCATTTAGGGGTATGAAAAATAGATGTTGGCCGATTCTCAGACCTACCCGATGTGCACACAAAATTTCATGAGAATCGGTCAAGCCGTTTAGGAGGAGTACGGGAACGAACATTGTGACACGAGAATTTTATATATAAGATAATACACTACCACCAACAGGAGCCCAGCATCTCTTCATTCATTCCTTTTGAAAGAAGCAGACAAAGTTGCGAAGGTCGGCTAGTCCGAAATAAAAACCAAACCGTACCCATACCTGTTGGATAAGTGGCAGGCGAAATGATACTTATTATAACAAATTTTTAATAAGTAGGTACGTGTGATGATTATGATTACGTCTAATGATAAAATAATTATTTTAAATTATACTTTTCAAAGATAGAGTTTCATATTATAGTAGTTTCACATCGGTAATACATTGTACAGAAAAGGAAAACAAGTATCTGTTATTTGACGGCCTTGTTGGTCTACTGGTTGACTGCTAAGCTAGAGGTCGTGGGTTCGATCCCCACCCAGGACAAATATCACTGAGTGTTATTTATCTATAACATATTTCTATTTATAAATATTTAAATACGCTTATTAGCAGTCTGGTATGGTACAGGCTCTGTCTAGTTGGGGATCACACGGCCGTGTGTGAGATGTTTAAGTAATATTGTTATTTTGTTAAAAAAAGTATTGTCCTGAGCCAACTTGATAGATTAAATGTAGATAATCGCGGGGTAAGCCTATAGCAAAAGTTATTATACAACGTTTTCGTATATTGGCTTGACTGCAAAGGTAGTTAACCTTAGCCATGGATTATATTGGTAACATCTGCGTATACAGCATGCTGTTAAATAAACAAGATAGTGTGGGGTTATTTCATTATCGATAAAATTATGAACAAAAACTGCATCCTCTTTAACCGACTAAATTCACGCTTGCTGACTGAGACTCATATGTGTAGTCTGATCAATAAAGTAATGCAAGCTAAATAACTAAAGATGTAGCACGGAAAACCATTTCGATGCTCGGGAATTAATTCATGATCAGTCTTTGATGAAAATATTAAGATTGTTTGGAAGAAATTAGTAGTTTTGTGTTTTATTATGTATAGCAGTAGAGACGGTGAAAGCTTTAGCATTTTTTACATGATGATTGGTTCCTCATTGTGAAAATTTGTCTGGTTTTGCCGCAGTATTCTGCAACCTAACTGTTATATTTTGAGAATACCTTAAATATTTTTACTATATAAGAAATTAGCAATTTGTCTGAAAATCATTCAATAGTGCATACATAAACAAAACAATGTTAAATTTTAATATCTATATTCATGTGTAAAAAATCTGTATATTATAAATACAATCTCATTACCTTAGTTTTACACTCGTGTTACCTAAGAGTTAACGAAACTACTGTCTAAGATCTATTTTGAATAAAAATGTCCAACACTGTAACATTATAAAGGTCAAATAAATAAATATTATTATATTATTAATTTATATAATACATTTCCCTCAAGCATAATAATATAGAAAGTGAGATTTGTTATCACGGTAGTATGTTTCGATTGAGTATCTGGATGCCGCCACTATATGACGTTATAAAATATAATTAAATTAACTACTAAAATTAGCGTTTATCGATAGGTCAACTATACTATCACCTCACCATGATCTAACGTAACTCTTAACAGCAAGGTACAAAGGTGATTTCCGCGTAACACCACTTCTACGCTACATTGTGCTGTTATTGGCAATTTGCCATCTTTGGCAGTTGGCCCGTCTTACGCGGACGACGTCCAACTGATTCATTCTTTATCGCTTCAAGCAATTCACTTGCGAAATCATGGGGAGATGTGTTAACCAGTGGACAATTTGTCGAGCTCAATTATCGGAAAATATTGAACACTAGTGTGAATTATATGAACGATGTGTAAGGAACAATAAAGCATATGTACAGGATTATTAATATCGCATTTGTATAAAATCGCATTGTAATAAACGTATTGTATCATTTGAAATGATTTAATTTAATTTAAACAGTAACAGCCATCCAATTATATTTGAAAGCAAAACAAAACTATACAAAGAGATAATTCAAAATATAAATAATGTTATCACAAATAATAATTTGACGGAGATTCTCAGAGACCTTCTCAAATCAGATTCATCAAGTTCTCAACTCGTCTGTTTGCATTTATAGTAATCTCGTTATTATTTTATCTATAAATAGTCCTTATTCATCTTATTCCTAGGCACTCATTCGTAGAGTTTACACAATGAAACCGGCAGTGCCGGATTAAGCCACCGCGGGGCCTGTAGCAAATTCGAATGGATTGTTTTATGTTTCCATACTTTTCTTGATTTAATTAGTCAAATTTATAAACAACTAGCTTTAGCCCACGGCTCCGTCCGCATGTATGTCGGTTATCGAGGTAAAAAGTAGTCTATAGCACTCAGGAATAATATACCTGTTTTAACAGGGAAAGCATTTTCAAAACCCCGAACATACAAACTCAAAAACTTTATCTCTTTATTAGATTAGCTGTATAATATACATGTTTGTGGGCACATTGTGTGGCACATTGTTAGATAAAAACCATTCTTGAAGCGGTTTAAATATTGTGTCAAAATTTGAGCTCCATCGGTGCAAAACATTTTGAATTTTTGAAGCGTACACAAATCAACTTAATATTTTTATATTATATACTGTTCATTGCCGCTTATCTAAGTAAATCAACAATTGAATCAGTATTCAACATTTATTAAGTGAAGTGATTAATAAGACGTTTTTGGCTCATCGTGTTTATCAATTCATTTTTTATACATTTTAATGTTGAGAAATATCTTTCACCGCTGTGGTTGGTGATCATGAGAGATAAATAAAAGCGCAAGGCAAAATCAATGTTCGGGGAACCAGAGAGAAGAGAAGAGAACTGCACTAATCACCTAGGCTGTCCTCTAAGTAATCTGCGTGAGCACTTACGACGATTGCAGATTTTTGCAACACCTCTAATGGAATTTTCTTCTAAATTAACATTCATTACCTAAAGCAACGAGTACGTTATCAATGGTGGCAATAGACATCTGCATTTCATATCATTGTTCAGGTGTTTGATTTTCAAGAGTCGAGTGACGAGCCTTTATAATGGTCGTCTAGAAGCTTCTTCCTGATATGTCTCACAGTCAATAATCTTTGGCTTTTGTCTCAATATCTGATAATGTAGATCGCATTGCTTGAAAGTATCCCTGTCATGATTCATAATGGGTGTATCTAGTATTAAGGTCTTGAACAGCCGATTGCAGCGCAGCACTAGTCGCTTGCAAACGTTCTAGGATTCCGTTCCGTTATATTGTCATTATTCATTGAAACTAGTCCGTATGCTTGATTATGGCACTCTACCTTTTGATCCACGTTATTGTGAATGTCTTTCAAAAAATATTGATTGTAGTAAAACCATATTAAAGCGCCTCAGCTAGCATCAGCTCGGGCTGACCACTTAGTGTCTGACAACATTTGCAAAACAGGAATTTTCGACGTACTTTCTTTAAGTGGGTTCGTAAGACGTTTTTTTTATAAAGTTTTCAATAGAATTGAAGAAAAGTGATGATTCTGTACAGTAGCCTGCAGTGCACTTAGCAACTCGCACTATTAGCATCAGTTGATCTACATGGGATATATAGGGTAGTCCTTTAGTGGTCTGACCTTGAATATGTTGCACTATAAAAGAATCAAATTTGATGACTTCTAATAAACCAAAATAGATTGATAAGTAGAATTTTTAGGGTCAGAAAGCGTTGGTGCGCGGGGCCCCAAAATGCACGGGGCCCGTAGCATTTTGCTACTCTTGCTACGTGGCTAATCCGTCACTGGAAACCGGTAGTCTACACCATTTAGTTATAATTCTAACAAATATATTCAGACGACACAACAACCGAATTGAAGTATAGCGTTGACCTCGTATGTTGGATGTTTTAACGACGAATAATATGGATTAATAGTAGAATTTATCGAGTCTAGTCACAGTTCTACGACATGTATTAATGCTCATTTGTTTCTTTGCGAGTCATTTAGATTACTTTGTATTTTATAAATACAACTAAACGTAATTAATGTAAGTATATAATAAATTAATATTATACCTTTTAGCCTTGCAATGGGCAACTTCCGTCTTCTTTCATTTCACCCAACAATTCGTTTTTAATTAACAACTTCTCCTTCTATTTATTACTGGTTATTGCGTAATTGTTTTTGTTCCTTGGTTAACTATTTACGTCTTTGTAAGCGTTTTTAGCAGTTTCATTTGCGTTCATGGTTGATGTTATTGCTTAGTTTTGGGCCATAATATAATCAACAGGATAAGAGAAAAGAAAGATTCAGACTACCTCTGGTGTTGTGAAGACTCTATAACTAGGTATATTGATACAAAAACAATGTGAGAATAAAATTATCTACCTTGAAATACTACTGTATCTCAGAAACATTTTAATGCATCCTAAGGTTGCCTGAAAGAGATTGCTCTTAGCAATAAGGCCGTCTTTTGTACATTATATGTCTGACAATTTTATGTACATTTCAGGGTTAATTAACCTTTGGTTTATGTATGAACTTGTTATTTCAGCTAGCAAGTTCCCCTCTCTGGTCTTGGTGCCGCGCTGGTTGGATGTTTACCGACTGTTTCTTGCTACTCAGCGGCACTCTTACCGCTCATAAGGCATCGGACAATAATTCTGGAGCGCCTAGAAGATTATTCTCCAGGTATATGAGGTAGGTATTTGATCTATTTCGTTTTAATATCATTTTATTATATGTGGCTAGATTAGTTTAATGTCCAAAAAATTGTAGGTTCATTAAAAGCTCCTGATCAAAATACAATAGCAAAATGTTTTTACAAAAATCTATACATATAAAATTACTTGTACTGGCTGACTGATTCATCAACACAGAGTCTAAACCAAACCACCAAAAAGAAGCCCAAAAAGAATTGAAATTTTGGCAGCTGATGCTTTTTATGTTATTAGCACCCACTAAGAAAGGATTTTTGGCAATTTTACTCCTGCGAGGTTAAAACAAGGAATGAACGGTTGTAGAGAAATTCGTAATGTTTAAAGTCCGAAACACGAAATTTGAAAATTACGAGAGCGAAGTCTCTGGCAATAGTTCCATTTTCGTAGGTATTACTAAAACAAACGAGCAACATATACCTAATATTTTCTAAACACAATGATGTATTCCACTATATGCCTACGTAATATATTATCAACACGAAGACGTATTACTTGTTTATACAGTGTATAAATAAATACACTTCGTTTAAGTATTGGAAACGTGTTTTCTTCGCAAAACGAAGGGTTTATACAAAAGGAAAAACGTAAAACGTAGCAAAGCTTGTTGGGTTCGCTTTGATGATACTGCACGTTATTTGAATTTTTTATTGAAAACTCGTTACGCGTATTAAAATACCTATGATATAAATACACGTAGGCACACTTATTAAATATATGAGTATCGATAGGTACATGAAAAAAAAACAACAACCTACTAATCGTATCATTGCTAATACAAAATATCAGGCGTCGCTAAAACATTTGATGATGAATTTAATTGAGGTTTTTTAATGACCACGACGTTGTTAGTCTAAATTTTTTTTTACCAAAGTAAAATTTTCGATTACTTAACTTATATAACCCGGTTGGACACCTGTAAATACACAATTTTTTCACAAATTGACTGCACGGATGGCGTAGTGGTTTAAGCGGTCGCCACGCCGCTTCCTACTACGCCGAGTGTTGTGGGTTCAAACCCCACATGGGACGACACTTTGTGTGATCCACAAATTCTTGTTCTGAGTCTGGGTGTTCTTTGTGTCCGTTTCATGTATGTTTGTAAAGTCCCCCGCGACACAGGATTTATTCCTAATGCGGGAGTTGTCTTTTTTAAAAGAAAGAAAGAATTGTATAAATTTTTCGATGGAGTTTATTTTCTTCGTAAAGATATTCTCTATATTAATATATATTTGTCCTGGCCGGTTTTTTTTAGACTCCCGCACTAGGAATAAATCCTGTGTTGCGGGGGACATGAAACGGACACAAAGGACACCCAGACTCAGAACAACAATTTGTGGATCACACAAAGTGTCTTCCCATGTGGGGATCGGACCCACAACACTCAGCGTAAAGTAAAATACACTGAAATAACTACTTAACACCACTTTTTTGTAAGGTCGTTGATCCACTTGGTGGAGGTAGTGATACTCTTCGAGTCGGCCTGTGGGTGTCAAAACATGGTCCCACGATTACATTAATTTTCAATAATTACTCGTTTTACCGTTATACCGTAAAATATTATCATATTAGAGCTATTAGTGAAGAGTATTTTTCCATTAGCAAATATTTCCGCCAGAAACGGTTGAGAATAAGAATGGGCTTAAATTAGATGTTATTCATCTGAACGGTTAGTAGTTCAATATCCTTGCATGGAAAATACCATTCTATATTATGTTTTATTTTTAGTGTATTTCTTCTTTAAACAAAGGACGTACGAGTATAATATGATGTGTATAAAGGTTAAGGTTGCTTGCATTCTAAAAATAAAGCAAAAATATCCAAATTCCGATATGTCTGATCTTGTGATAACTACTCGATTAGGATCTACCAGAAATTTTAATAGTTTATCTCTAAGGTACCTCAATTCGACTAACGATTATTCGACTGCAACGTCAAGGCTTGCAAGTTCGATTCTCGCTTAGTACAAATATTCCTGTGTACGAATATTTCTTTGGGTAATTTCCTAAATTTAATCCATGTTATCATAGTTTTATGACCCGTGTGTTTAATTTTTTTGAAGTCAAAAATATAAACTCGTTAATGACTGGAGATAACTATAATTAGCAGATCCTGTATTAGTTTACAATTTCCATGAGTTTTTAGATAGTGTGTGTGATAGTGCTATGAATCGTATATAGATAAAAGATTGGTTATCTTCAAATATAATTGTAATACAAAAAAAGTACTTACACGTGTTGAAGTAAAACAGGTACTTAATACTAGGTCCCGTATAATATTCCCATCAGCCCTAAAAAAGTAATATTTATAATCAACCTCTTTGAATTCTCCTCACGTTACGTACAACATTATATCTATATTTTATTTAACTAAAACTTTACATTAAATACCATTTTACATTATATACAATTTATATTCTTAAAGCATAAACACATTTCCTAGAGTTCAAAGGTGTTACGACATATTAGGTCTTGGATACTAAATACTACTACTAAATTGGATAATTTATAGATAAAACGATTTCGTCGGCAGCTTACTAACACTGATTTTGGAAGTCAAGTCAGTCAAGTCAAATATCAGTGTGTAACACATATGTTATATCTTTTGTAACTGAAAACGTAAGTGGATGAAGGTAATATAACAATGTATATAACAATATGACGTCAATTGTTTGAGTTTAAAATTTAGCCGCATATTTTCACTTATATCCGACGATATTATAAGGGTTATTTTATGTCTCTTTTTTATTGTGACATTGAAATCAACTCTTTACAATGGTTTAGTATTCAAAATAATACTAGTTGACCCGTCTGCGTCTCTGATAATAAATCTCTTGCCCCCTTTGCCAACATTTTTCATTGATGCTTGGCTTCTATTGGTCTTAGCAGCTATACATAGGCTATACATATACGCTTATAGACTACCTCGATAAATGGGCTATGCAACACCAAAATAATTTGTCAATTCGATGTAGTATTACCTGAGATTAGCGTCAACCAAACAAACAAACTTCTCAGATTAATGACTTATTAACAAACTAGACAAATTTGTTTTTAAAAATATGTAACATCTTTTTGAGTAAAAATCACTTAATAGTTTTATAATAATGCAGTAATTATTAATTTTAAGATTCATGTTCAATTCAGTGGCAAATTTTCAGAAAAAAAGCAAAATGTTTATGTTAAATTTTTGGGTAATCTTTTCTTATGGATAAATGTCTTTTATTTATTTAATTCAACAAGTAAATTAGAAAGGTGACATACAAAGTACATGTAGGTACGAGAAACTATAATCTGAATTAAAACTATTTTAAATTGTCAAGAACTCGGGCGTGCTTACGGGTCACAAACTTGGTCGTTACTAATGTCGTAATACTTAACGTCACGTCGTATGCTAGCTACAGCAAGTATGTGTTGCGCACCTTTGTGGCCCTGTATGCGGAATCTATTAGGGGATAATCTGTGACAGGAAACCACGACTTTTAAAATAACGTTCGATAGATGGAGTTGTACTTATGATGTACATCTCGCAATTGCAGTGGTATCCATATTATTAATGTGACAAAATATTTCTACCCCACGCTTAAGTCGAATATTCAGCGTAAGCGAAGCAGCGCCTCAACCTTGCGACGGGTTTCTTGGGCCCTGAATTGGAAGGGACTAGACCCTCTGTAAGTGACAGTGAGGCCCTATTACTCAGCACGTAACTAAATCTGCAGGGTTTCACTGAGATTTCTTTTCTAGGGTTCCCCTAAAGCCCCGGCATAATTACCGACGACTAAAACTTGGCACTAATAAAAAAATCCAATTGCATTTCTTTCAAAACAATCATTGAAACGATTCATTTCCTACTTGATCAATTTGGATAGGTTAGGATGTTAGGATTTTTCTAAATTCAACAAAAAAACAAATGTTTGTTTTGTTTTCTTGTTTGTAAAGTAACTTACTTCTAACGCGTACTTACTTAGAACAACTAGAAGCAAATACTTTTTATTCATGCTATTTACCACATATCTATGTATATGTTTATTTCGTACAATCGTCGTTTTATATCATTGAGAAATATCGGCCTAGCACTAGTTGTTTAGCAATAAAATAAATCAGTAATTTCAAACTAACGTTCGATAGATGGCGTTGTACTTATGATGTACATCGCGCTACTGTTGTAATGGTCTTATAATTATAAATATGATAAAATATTTCTAAACGGAAGTCTCACACATACAAAATCATTTTTTGGAATTCTGGCACATGTGTAAAACACAAGCCAGAATCGTAAACAGGTCGTCATCTGTGTTCCATCACTGCAGGTGTTTTCGCGAGAACAGTGCAGTGCACTCCACGATTAAGCAGAGTGCTAGAGTGGGCGCACCATACTTTGATAGCTTTCGGTGAACCTCTCTGAATTGGGGAGAACAGGGCGCTCCACAAATTACAGTGGGGTCGCATTTCCCAGCAGGCGGCTATCTCTGCCGGATTATATAGGTATTTATTTTCTAGGGCACACCTGAACAAAAGACCTGATGTCTGACCTGATTGTTGGTGGTTTTGGTCGGTTCCAGTTCGATATACCTACCGTTTGGACCATTGTGAAGTCACCATCCATGTAGGGTCTCACACAAAAATGGGAATGTTTATTTCCTTTTTTTTTGTGTTAAGGACACTTATTAAAACAACCGCAGAAAGGATTTAATTTATATTAATAATTTATATTAATATTTCCCACTTTCTCAATTTATTGTTTGACACAAACAAAATTACCTTTGTATTGTATCTTTTTTCATGGCTTGGTTAAATTTTATACTAATACGAGTCGTATAATAGGTAAGTGAAATTCTACATTCAACAATCATAATATTTATAGGCATAAACAGCATCGAAAAAATTAAGTCTTCAAAATGAGTGTGGGTACACAAGAAAACAAAACTTGTTCTACGAACGAACCATTTAGAAGCACATATTTCATTCATGTTGCTTACCACATACCCATATATCTATATATATTTATTACAACCGGCGGCGTTTTATAGCATTGAGAAATGTCGACCTAGGTAGTACTAGTTGTTTAGGACTAAAATAAATCAGTAATTTTAAACTAACGTTCGATAGATGGAGTTGTACTTATGATGTACATCGCGCCACTGTTGTAATTGTATCATATTATTAATAAATCCTATTGAATTTATTTTTTAAAACAGCTTTAGATACGAGTTAATGAATATATCCTATCCTACTTTATCAATTTGTTATTTGAAACAAACAAAATTACCTTAATATTGTATCTGCTTTCATGGTTTGTTGAGATTTTATATTTATGTTACGATACTTTAGGAAACTTAAAAATTTAAGAATTAACCACCAATTAGAACCAAAACATTTTTTATTCATGCTATGTACTACATATCTATACATTTATTTCATCAAACCGGCGGCGTTTAATATCATGGAGAAATATCGAAGCAGTTCTATTTGTATACTCGTAGCAATAAACCAATCAGTAGTTTCAAACTAAAGTTCGATAGATGGAATTGTATTTATGATGTATATCGCGCTATTGCTTTGATGATCTCCACATTATTAATATGATGTACAAACCGCAGTATTGCTAATTATTGGAATGCTGACCAGTGTGTATATTACAAGCCAGATTAATAAACAGCCAACATGAGTCATCATGTGGCATTTTCTACCAGTTAACAATTGAGTGGTACAGAGAGGGATGTGACAGGTGATACGGTGAAAGTTTTTTTGTATAAAACACCGTAACTCTTCCAGTCTCTGATAAAAGTAAGCAAGCAGACGTACGTTTCGTGTTTGGATGATTTGCATGAAATAATATTTATCTTAGTTTTAAATTATGGGATGAGAGGGGTCACGTCAAATAATTAAAAACAAATAATTTTCGGTCACTTTAAAAACAAGCTGAAGTATGTACAAAATATATTAGCCGCTTGTTTAAGTTGCTTATGGGACACGTTTTCGCAGTGTCATTCGTAAAGGCTGTTCTTGTTGATTTATTTACGCAAATATTATAATAATAAATATTTTCACATACTAATAATTTGATCATCAAATTGCGGAGGTATGTTTGGATTATATATTTATGTTTGTTAGGACGAGGACTTAAAACAATGAGAATGAAAATACAATACTTCAACTTTTTCCAACCTTGCTTATACTTTATGCACTTTGTAAACTAAAATACAACTTAACATTCCGAAATTACTTTGTATTTGGAAATAAGAATGTGTGTGTGCGTAGGTATGTCGATTCTTATTCCAGCCTTTCCCCTGTCCTTCTCTTCTTTCTTTGTTTTCGCCGCCTCTCGCTTGGCGGCGTCAGTGTGCACGTCGCCGTTCGGATTCACGAAACGATAATATCAAGTTGCACACTTTCTTCATTTATACTTTATTGTGCTCTGTCTTTTTTTATAAACTACACTTAATTATTCACCGAAATGTAGCCTATTACAATCATGACGTAAACTATACATTCACGAGCATTTATCAAATGAACAAAGTCAATAATTTTAGAATCACACTTTACAGATTAAAAATTTAATACATTTGTTAATAAGACCCATTGTATAAATTAAGGATACCTGCACCAACTAGTACCACACCCTTAGGACCAAGGTTACCTTCACAATTCATAGAATTACAGATTTTGCTCTAAAGTCTAAATTAACTTCAAAGCCCCTGTGAGGAAAAAATAATCAAATTATGAGTAAGAAACATTATGATTTCACCGACTAGAACACATTTTTTTAACTTTTTTGCTATTTTCTACAAATCTTTGCTGAATTTGGTTATTTACGTTTTGATTGTGTATTGGTTAACATTTAATAACAATTATTAAGGATAACTTGAGACTACCTCTAACTAACTAACCTCAAACTATGTAAATTCTTCGCTCGCGTGGAGTTTGAAAAGCGCTGGTTCGTTTCCCGGACCGTCCAAAATTTTATAGCGTTTTACATCTTATATAGACAGCTAAATAGATAGATAGTAATAGCTGATAGTAAAATATTATCAAAATCAGATTAGCCGTTTGGAAGCCGGAACAAACAAACAGATAGACAGACAAAAAAAAAACTTGTTTTAGGCATAGGTATCGTACAAATAACCGCGTGAGCATTCAAAAAACCTATTATTTTGACATTACAAACAGATTTATCATTTTTCTATATCTAGGTTTTATAAAAACATATTTTTATAAAACCTAGACACAGAAAAATGATCGCGCACTTCACACCGTTGTTGGTTCGGGCTAGGATCCAATCCACGATCACTGGCACAGCAGTCAGAATCCCCAACCAATAAGCCAACAGCCAGCAATAATTTTTAAAGCATTCTTAAAATGTTCCTAATGGTTCGAATCAATAGCCATTTTTTTCTTCTCAGGTTAACACCAGCGTTGCTAGCCCTGGTTCTGTTTTACGCCTACATTTGGGACAACGTATCCAGTGGCCCCATGTGGGGTACATTTGTCACGAAAAACGCTGAAGTATGCCAAGAAGGATGGTGGTGGAACTTGCTGTATGTACAGAACTATTTTGGTTTTGAAGAAATGGTAAGAAAAAAAAATTGCTTTTGTTATTTTCGTTCCATACAGGCTTTGTTACTTTACAGCTTTATTAGGCTGAAAAGTTTGTTGATGTCATCGCTTTAAAACCTTAAAAACCATAAAAAGAAGATAGAAAGTGCTATCAAATAAAAAAAAATATATATTTTGAAACCAGCTGGAAGTCTTAGTGGTCCCAAGCAGTATATTTTATTTTTTTAATTGTTGTCATCGGCCAGTATCGCACTAGTGGCACGTCTTCGGCTCATCTAACATCAAAGATAGCAGACTGGACGGAGATGTAACGGGAGTGCCTTAAAAGTACTTACGTCGCCGAGTGCAGAATAGGAATTGGACCCTATTAAGGAAAAAAGATTCTGAATAAGAACCTACAGTCTGATAGATAGTATTTTTCAAATTCAAAACTAGCTCATAGTTGAGATAGCATTTTTTGCTCCAAGAACAGTGAATAAAATATCATGAATATCTCGTAAATTTTCACAAAGAAAGTTGGTAGGACTTTTTCTACTCAACAGGGCTCAATTAGTGCATTACAAGCTGCTCGCTCCGTGGTCTTTCCGCCCCGTCCGCTGTTTGACTCCGCCTTTAACAGAAGGTGAAAGAAAAGCCTAACCTTAGTGTCAGTATATACGTTACTCTACTGCCTTTAATCATAAACATAACTTTCTCTTACTCCCTTAAAGTCTTTCCTCGTATAAGAAATACGATCGTTACGGGTACAGTCTGAATAAAAAGATACTTAAATCGCAATCAACAGCTTTTAATGCTTTTTAATGGAGAAATTTTGCTTTAATATTACTGTAACGCAAAATGGTCGAAGGAATTCATATTTTTATTGTTTACAAAGATTGATGACGTCGTAATTGATGTTTCTTTTAATAGTTTACCCAACATTAAGTAAATTATTAAAACCTCAGATTGAAAATAAGTGAATTATCATTAAGATTTCTTTTGGTTATTTAATGTCAGAAATAAGTATTGTGTATTTAAAAATATAAACGTTTATAAACATTTCTAGACTCTTCTATAATCACAAATATTTTTTACTGCATTTTTTAATTGATTCTAAAGTGACAGTTTCAATAAAAGATTTCAAAATAAGGTAATATGTTGCCTATTTAGATAACTGACTGACAAGATGACATAGGTTGGCGTTAGTCAGTGTTTATGAGTAACATAAAACAAATGCGTAAAAGGCGTCAAGTCAAGTCGACGTTTAAGGTTTATTATTGATTGGTTCTTATTGAGATATGTTTGCTATTTTCAGTGTGCACCGCAAACACACCAGCTAGCCCTGGACATGCAGCTCACTATCCTTGGAGGTATATTAATATGGGTGATGCAAGTGAAACAGGGCGTCTACAAGATCGTAATGCCTGTCTTGCATATTGTTGCGGCTTACTCAAGATACACAACCGTTAAGGATCATAGACTTACAATGCTGGCTTACCATGGAGTTAGGTAGGTTCAGTTATATTTTGAAGTCTTAATATCAGCTGTTTTTTTTGCCTGTGCCACTTTAAGCAAAGATAAATTTTTGTGCGCAATTGAAATAATGCTTGCGAACTCAATAACGGTAAATTTGGATTACTAACATAATTATGTCTAAAAAATTCAGAAATTTTTAACCTGATGGGTCAAATTCAAAAATTATCAAGTCGTCGTACGTCCAGTATATGTTGACCTGTCACGATACGGCAGTCTATACAATTAATATCATTATCAAGTACAACTTGAACTTGTTAACTTATACTGGATTATAAGAAAATCCAAAAAGGCGTGTATTAATACATCTATTAGGTTCTATTTAATAAATAAAAACTTCGTGACGTATCAGTTCTAAATTTCAAATAGGTGGAGAATATAAAAGTATGAAATCAAAGATCATGCGGTTTTAAGGATTTTATTCGAAGTATAGTAACAAACTTTTTATACTAACGCAGATAGCGTGCGCTTTCCTAGCTTAATAGCTTCATCTAAATAAAAAATAATAAAACAATTATTATAATAGGTCTTTACCTATGAAATTGCCGCTTTGTAAGCAATAAGTGAAAGAACTTATTTTTTCAAACTTTTTTATTTCTGTTATTCGAAGTAATCACCCATGCAATCGACGCATCTTTGCCAACGCATTGGCAGTTTACTGATGCTCTTCTTGTAAAAATCAGCTGGACGGGAGGCAACAAACTCTTCAAAGGCATTTTGTACTGCCTCTCGGGAATTGAATTTTTTACCCACTAAAAAGTTGTCTAAATTTTGGAAAAAGTAATAGTCGGTAGGTGCAAGGTCTGGTGGTCACATCTGCAACCAGCTTTGGTCAATCGGTCGTCCCCACTGCTCCTTCACGACAACGCGCGACCCCATACTGCGCAGCAGACAGTCTCCAAGCAGCAAGAGCTGGGGGTGGAATTTCTCTCTTATCCGCCATACTCACCAGACCTTGCACATACCGACTATTACTTTTTCCAAAATTTAGACAACTTTTTAGTGGGTAAAAAATTCAATTCCCGAGAGGCAGTACAAAATGCCTTTGAAGAGTTTGTTGCCTCCGGTCCAGCTGATTTTTACAAGAAGGGCATCAATAAACTGCCAATGCGTTGGCAAAGATGCGTCGATTGCATGGGTGATTACTTCGAATAACAGACATAAAAAAGTTTGAAAAAATAAGTACTTTCACTTATTGCATACAAAACGACAATTTCATAGGTAAAGACCTGTTATAATCTGATAATTAATGATAATTAGGCCCGTAATAACCATGGTCAAATACGGACCATAACTTTTGGCTCATTTGCTGTCATGTGCGGTCCACTTATGCATATTTATGTTTATTACAACAATTTTCATTATGGGAACAACGTATAATCTTCTATAAATTGTTCCAAGACGTTTTTGTATTTTTAAAGTCATCAATCACATTCTATGGTTTTCTTTGTTTCTAGGAAGTAATTGTTATGTTTACAGAAAGAGTAACGTGACGTTGACGTAATTAAATAAATAGTGGCATTACTTACGGCTACGGAGCAATAGCTCCGATCCAAATGCTTATTATTAGAAAAGTTTTTAAATAAATCTTGCCTGCCCGCCATGTGTATAAACTCCTTTAAATATTCTCCTCCGATTTGAAATATTTTTAGTTATATATTGTCTATTCAACCACTGTATAATTAGGAATGTTTTATGTTTCTCATAGGCGAAGTGAACTGGTAATAATTTGATTTATTATTTTGCTTTTAATCTTTAGAGTATATTTTCATCGTTCTGATTTTTTCCAATGTTATTTATTGTATAGCTGGCACCGTTTCATGACCATCAGATAAAAAGGTAATCCAAAAATACGAACAATAATATTGATTTTTAAATAGTTGTTTCTTATGTAAATACTTAATCCAAACAGCAGAGACGGACTTTTTCAATAAATGGCGTCCCACGTTTAGATAGAGTACGATTGCTGGTAATGCATTTTTTCTTCGTATTGCTTGACGAAGACTTATCAAATTGTCTTAACTGCACTACAAACAAAGCATTGGTGTAGCCCGTTTTAAATAGAAACGTTTTAATGGTTTAAACAATATTGGTGCAGCTATTTACGTGTGTTTGTATTTCCAATAGGTATTGATCCCGTTTTGATACATTTTTTAATTTGTAGCATTAAATGTTATTAAATTTATAGCATAGCTCAGTCACTATAAAGTTATGCATTTGTAATATGAAGAGTGGTGCAACTTTGGTCTGTCTGAAAACTTAAGACTCGTTAAACTCCTCCCAACTCTTTCCATGTACTTGTTTACAAAACCCAGATACTTTAACGTGAACACTTAACAAGTTTGAACAAGTTAGTTGTCAGTTTGGAATTTTAATTTTCTCATGTTTCCAGCGTAAGCCAGCTTTATAGGACGGCGCGTTTGAGTTACACGTCGGTGTTGCATCGTTCTACGCCTTATTTAGTTGGGCTGAGTTTGGGCTTAGCTTTAAAGACTCCTGTGGAACCCGGCATGGTAAGAAAACTATCTCTTCTAAGATTTCGTGACTATAGGAAGTTTTCAGTATGAAAGTCCACAAGAAACCAGGAATGGTTCATTATCGATGATATAGTTTAATTTAAAATAAAAACGCGTCGTGTGACGTCTAGCAGATGTGAAACTAGATGTTACAAAAAAGTTGTAGAGTCATTTGCGCGTGGCGACGCGTTGTCACACCGCATTAGATGTTACATTACCATTGGCCACACCACCAGCTGGCCTGACCTGGCATTTAAAGTTTCATATCAGAAGATTTACATATTGTTTAATACATTACTGAATGTAAATATAACAACAAATGAATTTATATTATACGTTTTTTATTGTTAATGTTAATTTAAAACAGTTCAACACATTCTTGATTCTAAGACACATCTTTGTAATAAGATTTCGTAAATATTATTACAAAACAGACTTGCAGAGAATAGTTAACAGATTTGCAGATTGTTTTTCATCAACACCCTTTGATAGTCCACTGCTGGACATAAGCTTCTCCTTCGAAAAGAGGTTTTGATCTACTATATCGCACCAGCCAGTTAGTTTGGTATAGGGTTTCTTTCAAGTTTTCCTCTTCATTGGAGCACTGTTGTTCTGCAGAGTTTCTTTACTTAGTTGTCTCTTACGACACACACGAGATAAATAGGGGTGGGAATTTCCGTGTTATTAATCCATCACTACACTTGTGATTGTATTTAGATTTAGATTATTTTGTGTGATGAATTACATGCGCATACCCACGCTTATAATACATAATATTGTTATATACAATACGATTCATGTAGCATATCAATTGTATTGTTTTGACATAATAATAATAATAATAACTTCACACATCTCACACACGGCAGTCTGTTCCCAAACTAGGCAGAGCTTGTTATACTATGGTAACCAGACTGCTGATAAACATTCTTATATATTTCTAAATACATACAAATATTATCATAAATCACACCCAGACACAGAATAAATGATAGTGCTCATCACACAATTATTTGTCCTCGAACCCACGACCTCCAGCTTAGCAGTCAGGGTCCCTAACTACTAGACCAACAAGCCCCTCAAAATCACTTACCTAACTTTAATATCAACAAAAGAGTTGCTAAACACCGGTTTTCTGTGAGGCTGTTCCATCACTCCCGTTCAGCCGACCCATTTGTGCTGAAGCCTGGCTCTTCTACGGATTTAATGAACTAATTCTAATTCATACTTCACAGTTTCTCCTGGGCATTGGTTGGATATCTAGCATCGCTCTTTGGTGTCTCGTCTGGTGGGTTGGCGCTGACTCCGGCTCCATGCAGTACCGCTACAGTTCAACATTTGCTGCACAATATGCTTCCCTTGCACCTATTGCGTCTGCACTGGCCATCGCTTGGTTGGTTTATGCTGTTCACAGTGGTGGTTCTAGTAAGTGTTAAAACTTAACATATTACAACTCATTGAAATTCTACTTTAAATTTAAATAAAAAAATGGTATTTAAAAAAACACCATCAATCAATAACATTTATTGTTTCTCTTCCTAAAAGTTGCAGTACTGAAGTAAATTTAACAATTCAGAGAGTACTTAAGAAAGTTTATTAATTCTTATAAGTAATGTTTATTTACCAAAATCCCAATGAACGTTTAAGTAAATAAGTCTTTGTTTGTATACCAACATTAGGCAGATGGTTTCACTTCGTCTTGTAGCTAAACGAAAGCCTTTTCCTTTCAATTTATTAGGTTTTGTAACTAGAGCAATTGATTTCTGATCATCTTTAGTTTTGCTTTCTTAAAATTTGTGGAAAGCGTGTAACACTTCCGCGCTCATTGGTTAAATCAAATGTGATTTCACCAATAAGCATGCGAGGTGCTAAAGATGCATGGATGGTAGGTGAAATTTACGACTCCTGTGGGTCTCTTTCTACTTGAAAGCAGTAAAATACTTTTTGCGTATTGCGGCCTGATGACTTCATCACCAGGAGTTTGCTGTATTACAGCGTTCTTTAGAAACAATACCAATTTAATAATATTAAAATTTCTTCTTTAACAGGTTTCCTGTCACGTTTCCTATGCTGCAGACCCCTGGTGTTTATTAGCCGACTATCTTATGCTCTTTACCTTACCCAGTTTATCGTGTACATCACAAACGTGGCTACTGTTAAAACCTCCAGAGAATTCACCTTGATGTCGTTGGTAAGTTTCTTTGTTCGATTGCATTTAATTTTTCACAATTATTTACAATAATGTTTAATTATTGAACAGTTAAGTAAATGCATGCAAATCGTTTGTAAGATTTCAGAGTAAAGCAATCGAGCCAGTATCTACAAAAAAGACTTTGTTTCAGATTGATGTACAAGAAATCTCAACAATACTACTATTAGCGGTTATTCTAACAGTTACATTTGTTATACCAATGCAATCTCTACACAAAGTTTTCATTTTTCCTATAAAGTCTGAGAGCTCGGCAAAACCCATAGCATCGGGTGAAAACAAATTTGAAGAAGAAAAAAAGGAGGAAATACGAAAAGAAGACAAAAATATAGTAGAAACTCCACAGTTAAAAAGTCGATTGCACTTAATAGCTCACAGAGAAGTGCTTGAAGAAATACCAGAGACAGAAGTAGAATATGAATCACAGAGAGACAACGAAGGGCTGGGAGAAATTTTAGAGGAAGAAGAAGATGACATGGGTGAAGAATCTATCGGGAACGTGGAAATAGAGGATGATATGGAAATCATTGAAGAAGAACAGGGCGGAGAATGTGAAGAAGATGAATTCTGGTTAAATAGACGACAGTATACACCAAGGAGATCAGACTCGAATGAAAATGAGGAAGAAATTGACGAATGGGAATGGACGGCAAACGGAAGTCGTAATGGAGCTCAATATTATCGATACTCAAGGTAGCGATTTATATGTGTTGAATTAAAATTTCTTTTTGAGTTTATTTTTTGTTTTATTTTAAGCAGTTGGGGATGCAAAGTTATGCTCTTGTCTTTTTTTAATATAAAAAATGGAAGTCACTGTTTATTGTTGTCTAGACATTGCTACAGTTAGTTAATCTTACTTTGTGTTCATTTATGCTAAGTTTGTACAGTCAACGAGGAGTATTAGGAGCGCAGGAGTTTGCTTGCAATGAAAAAAGCATGTATTTTATTATACAAAAGTAAATATATCCGTCCGCTGCCCACTTGCGGCGGTCCGCAAAATTGCGAACGCCAAACGGGTGCAGGTGGGCTGGGTTTTGTCCAGGATAGCTGCTAGTGCAGCTCGTCCGCTGCAGTGCTACCGGTGCCTCGAATTGGGACACGTGAGAGCTAAGTGTCCCAATGAAACAGACCGTAGCGCGCGGTGCTATGCGTGCGGTGGCACAGCCACATAGCGCGTACATGCACCGCAAAAGTACCGAGGTGCCAGGTCAGCTCGGACCTTGGCCGACCCTCAGATCATCGCCTGGGGAGCAAGAAGTGCTCTCCGCCGAAGAAAAAGAAAAGGGCTCCTGCCCAAGCCTTGACGAGCACAAGAAAGTCACAGCCTGATACCCGTCCGGCAGAGGAGGCAATGGGCTGGTTGCTTCGGTGAGTACCTGAATGCCTGCTCGGACGCGAGGAGACGGCACAATGCCAGCACTGCGCAGCCGACTGGGACTTCTGCCCCGCATGGGCGTCTGAACGCGAAGTTCTGGTCGGCCAAATCGGAAGAGACCTGTCCCCGCCAGCAATCATTGCTGCCATGCTGGCGGGTGAGGAGGGACGGGGCGCAGTGGTCTCTTTCTGTGAAGTTATAATGCTCCAGAAAGAGACCGCTGAACGGGATCGGGAGAGGGCCGATCCCGAGCGTAGAGGACGTCGGCGACCATACCAGCCACCGACGGGGCCGCGGGCCGCAAGAGAGTGGGGACCTCTGGTGGCAGATTGAATGCTGCGGTAGGGGATAGGATAGCGGCCTGATCGGTCGCGATTGAGGGGGAAGTGTTTTTCCCCTGGGATAGAGCCTGACTAGGCATAGTGTCAATTCGGGGAGGACCTGAAATAACATGGTCCAGGTCCTCCCAGAGTAGGGTATCTGAGGCCGGCCGTCGGGGTGGTTTTTAGTGGAATCACCGCATACTCCTAGCTCCTAGCCCCGAGGAGCAGGAGATCCGAAGGATTGAGAAACCCCGTCAAAAAAAAAGGTATATGCTATTAAAGATCGACTTGGCTAGATTATCACTGGCGAGAAATCTTCCGACGTTAATATTTGGCAATTGTATTCATGGTCACCCGAGCAATTTTTTTTACCAAAACTGAAAAGCCATTTGTGTAGCAAATACTCTCTCATTATTGGCTTGTTTTGGATCGAATTAACATGAAAATTGAAAAGTTGGTAATCTTTGAAGCATTTTAAAAAAGTACGATTTATGTTGATTAAATGTAATTATTCAAAAAGTCTACAAATTAGTTGTGAAAAAAATGACGAATGGAGTTTAGTAATCTCTGAGGCAAACAATTCACACAATTAAGTGGATAATCATTAAATGCTATATAAATAATTTAAATACCCTTGACCACCGAAGAAAGTTCACTAGCACTACCTTGCATGTGCTTCTTAACCAGTTGCCGAACAAGGAAAAGGTCATCGGTTAATTATGAGTGTTTAAGGCCCTACGGTCAAAATTAATGGGTGTCTGTCCACAGTAAATAACGTTGCTCTTTCTAGAACCTTCTGAAATACGGAACAAGATATTATACTCAAATATCTATTAACTGTATATTTATATTATACATATTTTGAATAATAAAGGTAATAGCTAAATTTTGGTTTGCACGTTTTGTTGCAATATCGTCAGAGAATACAGACGCAAAAAGAAATCTTAGAATTTTTTCATAATAAATGACTTAAATAAAGTCATTACTTTATTTCAGTCACTTATTATGAAAAAAATTCATATCTATTGATACACTTGGTCACACTCACCAACATGTTCATAAATTTAATATTTTTTTCTTTTGGACCAAGTCTACATTTTGAGTGTAATCGAACGATTACACGAGGTAATCCAGGTAGTCGAACCGTCTTTTTTTCCCACTCAGTGAAAGGCAACGAAAGAATAGCGGTTTTCTGTGAGGCCGTGGTATCACAGAGAGCCATGCTTCGGCATGAATAGGCTGGCTCGACCGGAGCCAGCCCATTCATGCCGAAGCATGGCTCTCTGTAATATCTTCTATGATTTTTTTGTGAATTTTATAAAAAGTACAATAGATGTGTATTCAGCGGTGCAGTGATAGCGTATGCGACTGCCCTGCCTCAGCACGATTCGCGCTATCTCCGGTTCGATTCCCGGGTCGGACCAAAAGTTTGTATGATCTGTATTGTTTCGGAGTTTGGTTTTTTTTTATATAAAATAGGTATGTATTTACATAAAACAAGTATATTTGTATTCTATCAGTCAATCTAGTTTCACAGTACAAGCTCTGCTTAGTTTGAAACTACGAGTAGATGGCGCGGTGTGTCAGATGCCCGAAGTATTATTATTATCATACTTTATTATTATTTTTTACTACATTACTAGACAGATCAGTAAACATAAGAAATTGCTTAGACCTTAGACCTCTTTTTTATGTTAGAGGGGGCAGACGAGCAGACGGGTCACCTGATGAAAAGTGACCATCGCCGTCCATGAACGTCTGCAACTCAGGAGTCACAAACGCGTTGCCGGCCTTTAGGAAGGAGTACACTCTATAATTATACCCTCATGTTTTTGCCTGGAAGTTATATTTATTTCGATTAAATCTAACGTAATAATTGTTTCAGTATAATGCCGCGATATTTTCTTCAAATATTTTCACATTTAAATTTAGAAGCTAGCAAGTGACTGGTAAAATTAATTTGCAATTATTACTTGATAATCTATAATCATTAAGTAAAGATTTGATTGACAAGGTTGCATTATTTGGTGCGGTCATTAAGGCATCTTTTGATTTAATATTTCAAGGTTTTGTACTAAATCGTTATTTGGGTCAATGTTATAATATATTTCTACCTGTACTTATAATAGGCTTACGTTTAACTAACTACCAGATGTAGTAAAATATCATGTCAAAATATATTTTATGTTGCCAAAAATAGTAATTAAAACCTCATTTTAATGAGAATTTTTAACCAACAATTTACATTTGCCTATTAAAATAAATGACTCACAAAATAATCATAGTTAAACCCAAAAATTGTAAATGATCACTAAAATTTTAAGCACATTCACGAATGTACAAATTTGTATGTTATTATGTCGTATTGGAAGAAAGGCGTCGAAGCCCTGCTTCGTGAGGCTCAGCTACTTTCCGGGTGGTTTAAGGACCTTTCCTAGCGCCTGTACGCAACGGCGCGGGCACCTTGACACAAACCTAAGTCTAGAGTAATAGTGCATCAGTTTGCTTGCTGAGATTTGGTAATAATTTATTACATTGGTGTTCGAATACAATTTACGGGTACGGGTTGGTTTAGGGTTTTGTGTCAATTCCCCTGCGACGGACGCCAGGGGCGAAGCCGTCGAGGAGTGGGCGGCGTCGGTGGGCCTCTGTTTGCTGAACAGAGGCTCCACCAACACGTGCGTGCGACAGCAGGGGGGGTCGATAGTGGACCTTTCGTTCCCTACCCCTGCAGTCGCCGCACGAGTAAGGAACTGGTGTGTCCTGGAAGAGGTCGAGACGCTCTCGGATCATTTGTACATCCGATTCGAGCTCTCCCGGTCCCAGGACCCCAGTAGGGGTCACGCGGCGCGGCGCCCTTCCCGCTTCCCGCGGTGGGCTGTCGCCAAGCTCGACAGGGACCTACTAGAGGAGGCGGCCATTATTCACTCTTGGCTGTCTCCGCAGGCCCCGACCGAGGAGGTCGACATGGGGGCTGGTCGCTTCTGCGATGCGATTACGCAGATTTGCGATGCGGCCATGCCCCGCGTTCGTGGTTGTCGGCCTCCAAGGAAGGAGGTCTACTGGTGGTCCCAGGAGTTGGCGGACCTCCGTGCGGCCTGTGTACGTGCCCGGAGGTCCCTCACCCGTAGTCGGCGACGTCACCGCGGGGTTGGTGAGGAGGTGGACCGGCTTCATGAGGATTACCGAGAAGCTCGGAAAACTCTGAGGCTGGCCATCTGCCGCGCCAAAGATGCATGTAGAGAGGAGATGCTGGAGAGTCTCGAGCGTGACCCCTGGGGTCGCCCTTATCGTGCGGTGCGTCAAAAGCTCCGCACGTCGGGCCCCCCCCTTACGGAGACTCTCCAGCCCAGCTTCCTGCAGGAAGTGGTCGAGGGCCTATTCCCGCAGCGGGCGGAGCACACACCCCCGTCGATGGCTGCATCAGCCGGAGACGACGGGGGCAGCGAGGCTGATGTTCCGCCCGTCAGGGAATCGGAGTTGGGGGCGGCTGTTCTACGGATTAGATCCAAGAACACTGCCCCCGGGCCGGACGGGGTTCCAGCCCGAGTGATGGCCCGAGCCCTCGACTACATGTCGGACCACCTCAGGGGGGTGTTGGACGCTAGCCTGGCGTCCGGACGCTTCCCTGAGCGCTGGAAATGCGGGAAGCTGGTCCTGCTGCAGAAGCCGGGACGGCCTGCCGAATCGGTCGCGGCCTATAGGCCTATCGTGTTGCTGGACGAGGCGGGTAAACTTTTTGAGAGGGTGCTCTCTGCCCGCATCGTCCGGCACCTTTGCGAGGTTGGCCCCGATTTGTCGGACGCCCAATTCGGTTTCCGAGCGGGGCGTTCGACGATCGATGCCGTAATGCGCCTTAGGGCCGTGACCGAGGAGGCCGTGAGCTGCGGCGGAGTGGTGTTGGCGGTGTCCTTGGACATCGCCAACGCCTTCAATAGTCTGCCATTCAGCTGCATCAGGGAAGCGCTCCGCTACCACGGAGTGCCAGAGTACCTGAGGCGGCTGGTGGCAGATTATCTTGAGGAGCGAACCGTCATGTACGAGGACCGAAATGGCGTCTTGAGACGCAGGGCCATGTCGTGCGGTGTTCCGCAGGGGTCTGTCCTAGGACCTCTCCTGTGGAACATCGGGTACGACTGGGCCCTACGAGGGCGTCTCCCCCCTGGGCTGGGTGTAATCTGCTACGCGGATGACACCTTACTCACGGCCCGGGGGGCTAACTTCCAGGAGGCGGCGCGCCTGGCCGCCACGGGAGTTTCCCAGGTGGTCGGGCGCATTGAGGCGTTGGGATTACGGGTGGCCCTGGATAAGACGGAGGCCCTATTATTTCATGGGCCCCGTCGTGGTCCACCCGCCGGCGCCTCAATCGAGGTCGGCTCGGTCCTCGTACCGGTCCGGGCCCAGATGAGGTACCTGGGTCTGGTCCTAGACGGTAGGTGGCTCTTCGACGAGCACTTCCGACAGCTTGGTCCGAAGCTGGTGGACACTGCCTCCGCCCTAGGGCGACTTTTGCCCAATTTGGGCGGGGCCAGTGTTCCCACGAGGCGGCTGTACGCGGGGGTTGTCCGGTCCATGGCGCTTTATGGTGCACCGGTGTGGGTGGCGGCCCTGACCGCCCCGAATAGGGCGCGCCTCTGGCGCCCCCAGAGGATATTGGCGGTCAGAGCCATACGTGGATACCGCACGGTGTCCACCGAGGCGGCTTGCGCCTTGGCCGGAACACCCCCGTGGGATTTGGAGGCGGAAGTGCTCGCCGAAGTTTATCGGCGAGTGGCTGACTTCCGGGCGGAGAGCGGATTTCGCCCTCCGCCCGAGGACGTGCGCGAGTGGCGCGAAGCCGCTCGCCGAGCCACCATGGTCAGATGGTCGTTCCGGCTGGAGACTCCACGCGCTGGCTTCGCCGCCGTGGAGGCTCTCCAGCCGGTCATAGCCGAGTGGGCAGGGCGGCAGCACGGGGCCCTTTCCTTCCGGCTGACGCAGGTGCTTTCCGGGCACGGTTGCTTCGGAAAGTACCTGCACTCGGTCGCTAGGAGGGAACTGAGTCCCGCCTGCCACCACTGCGACTGCAGTGAGGACTCGGCCCAGCACACGCTGGCGGTCTGCCCCGCATGGGCGACGCAGCGCCGGGCCCTCACTGCAGTCATCGGAGCAGATCTCTCGCTACCGGCCGTAATTCGCTCCATGGCCGGTAGCGACAGTTGTTTTACCGCGGTCGCAACCTTCTGCGAGGAGGTAATATCGCAGAAGGAGGCGGCGGAGAAGGCCCGGGAGGACGACCTCCACTCGGACCTGATCCGCCGCCGGCGAACCGGGCGGCGGAGGCGCGCTTACCTGCGCCTCATGCCGCCCTGAGTGTGGCCGCGGGTGGACGGGGTGGGTTTCCCCTCCACCCGCATTAGTTGGCCAGCCGCGAGGGGGCGGCGTCCGCGTGTGCCGGACGTCGCCTAAAGAGAGGAAAATCTTGAGACGGGGCCCGCAATAGGAGCGGGCCGGCGCTAGGAGGGGTCCAGAAGGCGATAACTACCTGGACCCCTCCTAAACTGGAAGCGCAAAGAGGGCACACCGTGTGGTTTTAGTCGGTTCGAGTCCGACACACCACCCCGCCGTACACCCCGGTGGGGTTTCCACTATAATTTGTTCTGTGTCTGGGTGTTATTTATCTGTATTTTAAATGTATTTAGAAATTTATAAGTATGTTTATCAGCAGTCTGGTTACTATAGCACATGCTCTGCCTAGTTTGGAATCAGACGAAAAATAGTAGACCACCGACATCGGGTACAGGGACCAAGACCCCGGTGGTTAGGGCTCTATAGATAGAAACCTCTTCACTATACGAGCCTTGTCAAAGAGAACTACCTTCTGCATCAGACCCTTGATCCGTCTAAGGTGAGCCTCTTAAGGTGTTGGTCGAGGCTCTTAGCCATCAATCAGTGAGCAGATACGACTATCGAAACAATGATCACTGAATCGACATGCCACATATCGACAATCTCGTGAGATAATTCCAAATGTTTTATTTGTTTTTCTTATTTAACTTTCACGAGATTCTCGTCATGAGAATATTATTATTATTATTACAATTCTTTCGCTGCTATATATAATATTATTATGATATATCAGAAATGGAAAAGGTAGAATTCATGTGATTAACATAACCTAGAGTATTGTGTGATATCTTACATAGTGAAAAATTAAAGACAAATCGGCGAAAAAATATTTTTTCATATGGCCACTCAGTCATTATAAATTGGTGACCGGTACACCTCTGATCACCAGTATAAGTTACTCTAGTGTGGTCAGGTCCAAATATATAATTATAGGTCAGTTTTAAATAAAATTTGTACCGTATTTATTAAAATATTTATTTATAACGTCGGCATGTCATATTTTATTATTACAGAGGAGCATTTGGCCTTCATTGTTTTTAATATAATGATTATCAAGTTTATTGGAATGTACTTACTTCATCCGGTCTCTGCATCATCCGAAGGATGACTGGTAAAAAATACCTCCGGTATTATGTATGTAACTTTTCATGTTGTTTTTAAGAATCATAGAACCAATATAAATTGATAAAGGTCCCTTATGACGAATATGAATATACATAGAATTACTTCAATGGAGAATCCATTTCACACTTTAACACTATCCGTTGCTAGAAATTGTGTTACTAGTCTTGAATCACCCGAAATTTCCGAGCAGGAAGTTTACAAATCATGTTAATTAAAGATGCCCAAAATTATATTGCGAACGACATATTGTTTGTTTTATGGTCACACAAATGACTAAATGAAATCGAGACTGAATTTCGTTGCTGGTAAATATATCGACTTTATAAATAGATTTAAAACAACATCACCAGCACGTTCTACAAAATCGAATCAAAATTACACGCAAAGACACTGATTTGTAATGTCCACTATAGCCCTTTAATAATTAATTAAAACAAGGTAACGATTACATGTTACAGACGCTAATAATTGATTTAAAAAAAAATCGATGACTATTTTACCTGAAATATTAAATAGGACGTGGCTGTCCGGTTGGATAATTTTAACGAGAAAGACTCGATATTCCTAAATCGAGTGAAATGTAATTAAACATTGAGTTGTATTAATAAATTATAACTCAGCAATCGAATTAATGCTACAGAAATGACACACTTGGTACACTGTTCTACGTAAATTTCTGATTCAAGAGTTTTTTAGTATGTATTTCTAATCTGTTAACACGCGAATGTTAAAAGATTATCCACACAATATGTTCAGGTTGTCATATGTGATTTAGTGATTCATTTAGAGACCACAGAGTGTGACGTTTTGGTTTTTAATTTAGAAAAGGATTCTGGGCATCCTGTAGATTATCTTTATTTGTGTTAAAGACAACTTGATTCATTTAATGTAAATTCAAAAGGTTTTCTTCTGTTTATAATCGTAACCCTAAGCCGTAGCGGGCTTACGTTATGATTATATTAAAATGTCTTGTCTCTCTCTTAAACATGAAATTTACAGTGCCGGATTAAGGGAACTTGATGCCCTAAGCAATCTTCCCATGTATTCTTAGTAAACTACAAAGAATTAATTGAATAGAAGTGGAGGTCATGACTGCGACCGAACCGCATGTCAACGACAATTTAAAACCATTTTAAAATTGTTTTAACTTTCGTGTGGTCGTTTTATTTCTAGATCGTCACTGGTGCCCACCATTTTTATTTTTTTGGTGCCCGCCTAGAAGGAATGCCCTAAGCAATTGCTTGAATAGCTTATAGGCCAATTCAGGACTGCAGCTTTATCACCTTATTACCTTTTTTATTGATGTTTCCTCGAGATGACATGTACCGTGTGATGTGACCCTACCTATCCTTGACCTTTTCTGTTTTTCGAGGTAAATGTATATGTTAAAGGAACTGTCAAGTACTTAAGACGTGAAAGCAGAACAAAAAAACCAATGTTACCTAGTGATAGTAAAATTACTAATAAAATGTACATTCATGCGAACGGAGTCATGGGCAATGGTCATGGGCTAGTATTTTTATTAAGCTTAGTCACATTTTCGACTCTCTTGTAAATGGTTATTGGTATATAGACCTAGGTAGAATATATCCTCTATCCTCTATATTCCAGTTTACTGTATTTCGGGGATCACATCATATCATCACATTAACAACCTTTAATAGTCCACTGCTGGACATAGGCCTCTCCTTAGAGAGGAGGTTTTTGCCTACTATTTCGGGGATGCCCAACTTTTTTTATATAAATATACCTCTCGCACTAGGAATAATCCTGCGTCGCGGAGACTTTACAAACATTAATGATGAAGAACAATTTTTGGATCACACAAGTGTTGTCCTATGTTGGGTCTCGAACCCACAACACTCAGCGCAGTAGGAAGCAGTGAGGTGACTCCTCGCCGCTTCCTACCGTCACTTACTGCTTAAACCACTACGCCATCTGTGCAGTCCAACCGACTAATGCAGAAGGTCGCTACACCCCCTGAAAAATATTACAGATGTAAATAAAATTAAATGAAAATGTAATTAGTAATGTATCCGGATCACATAAAGATTACTGAAATTTCGAAAGCTAAGAATACATGTAGATTTAACATTCTTTCATAATGTTTAACAAAAAATTATTACACTCGAGCATAAAAAAAAAACAAGGAGAAACCCAACACCAAAAATTTCATAAATAATTTGTGACGTTGCTTTTGTACAAACAAATACCTCTGACACTTAGTAAAACAATGGAAGTATTACGATATCAAAAGGAACTAGCACCCTAACTTAAAAGGCTTCGATGCGCGAAGGCTCAGTCTCTCGTGAGAATCAGCGCGTGCGCACGTCGCGATGATTAAGGCGGCGCTCCTAGTATTTGCGTGCGCTGCGGCCGCCGATATCGATCTACAACAACTTAACACGACAGTACTAGTAAATAAAGAAGTGCTACAAAAACTATCAGAAACTTTGAAATCGAATAGAACTATAGATAAAAATGATTTAGCAAAACTGAATAGAACCATACAAAGTTTAGGAGTGAATCGAGATTTAATAGCAAAGTTTACTGGGTTAGTAACAAGTACTGAAAATAATATAGCTCAAGGAAGCGTAGAAGGCAGGGCTTATACAGCTTACGGGGATGAAATAGGGAATAATGAGGGTAAAGTAAGACACGTTGAAGAATCTCCTGATTATGCTTCTTCGGTGGTGTTGGCTAGTGACTTGCTGTCGTTGACGAGTGCAGTAGCAAGCGTCAAGGAGACAGCGTGCAGGGAGCAAGGATACAAGTTCCTGGATGGACTGATCATGAACAGGAGGTGGGCCTTGAAGAGTGAGTATTTCTATTTTATATAGTTTATAGTTTTAATATATAGTTCGTGTATGTTAAATGGTAAAGAGAGGCCTATGTCCAGCAAGGGACTATTAAAGGCTGTTGATGAGATGTTAAATGGTGATTAAAAAATCATTAAAGGATTAAATCGACATATTTGTCAACTCACCTTCATGGTGAATACAGATTTGATTTAATCATTGGCTCCTATTATTTCTTAGGTTATTTTATATTTGTTAACTGTTAAGTTGTAAGTAAGTATGTAGGGTATGTACCTTTACTTAAATTTGTAGTAGTTACCATGAAAACAATATCATTTCAAAGAGTCATAAATCAATCAAATATCTTTAATATATATCAGACGTTAATATTTTTTGTATGATAGACGATTATGGAACGAAGTGTGAAGTAATGTCCAATAAACACAAACTATTAAATATGTATGGTGCAGATAATATTTACTTCATTTCATAGTTTTATTCCTTTGCTGATTACAGGTTTATAGCCCCTAAGAACATAAATAAAAAATACCCATTTGTACTAGGTTTAAAAAAATATCTGTATCAAGAAATTGTTTAAAAAGAGCAAAAATATTGTAATAATAAAATGTTTAAACTTGATGCTAAATCCTGCTTTGCTTAAGTTGTTGATGACTATATTAGTTCCTGTTTTATTGTGTTTTTTTGTCTAAATTTTCTACTTTTCAAATTTGTCAGCTAGTGCGTCAGTCCCCATCAAAATTTATGATAAGTAATGCTTTTCACTTTCCCTGATTGAGAGGATGGGGGGGAGGAGGGGGCACTTGTAACTTTCCACTTATCATCAGGTGACCCATTCGTTCATTTGCCCTCCTATACCATTAAAACGGCAATTTCTCGTAGATAAATGAAGATGGTTTTTTAAACTGGTAGACATTATAGTAAAAAGATTATTTCAGAGTATACAAAATTTCATCACAATAACTTTATAAGTCTGAAAAAGGTCAAAATTAGTCTCGTAAATACGGCTCTGCAGTGTTTCGGAGTAGAGCCTGAGCACTGAGATATGGCTAAATTAGTCTCTGTTGCCAATATCCTGCTTAACTACTAAAAACCAATTTCACAGTAAAATGTACTTGAAGATACCACGACAAGGTGTTCGTATATTTGTTATTCATCACGCATCGCTTTCAAGCATAAACTCAACTTCGACAATTCACTAATATCATTACAATACGATGTTAATTATTTTTGATCGACACTTGACAGTTCTTCAATACTAGACTTCGGACTTAAGACTTTTTAATAGTATTGAATTAAACTTATTATAACTAAAATAATTTGTAAAGAAATTACTTTATTATTTAGATGGTCAAAGTTGCTGTATCATTTCAAGCTGTTACACTATGACGTCTGAAAATTCTTATTAGTTTTGATCTGAGATTGGTTATAATCTTTAGACCAACTCATCACATCACACATCACATCGACAGCTTTTAATGGTTCACTGCTGGACATAGGCCTCTCCTTAAAAGATTTTAGCCTACTATGCCACGCTGGCCAGACGGGTTGGTATGGGGTTTGTGTCAAGTTTCTATGGAGGCCCTCCAGCCGGTCATCATCGAATGGGCAGGGCGGCAGCACGGGACCCTTTCCTTCCGCCTGACGCAGGTCCTTTCTGGGCACGGCTGCTTTGGAAAGTACCTGCACTCGGTCGCTAGGAGGGAATCTCTCGCTACCAGCTGTCATATGCTTCATGGCCAGTAGTGATAGTTTATTTACCGCGGTCGCATCCTTCTGTGAAGACGTTATCCCGCAGAAAGATGATGCGGAGAAGGCCCAGGAGGATAATCTCTACTCGGACCCAATTCGCCGCCGACGAACCGGGTGGCGGAGGCGCGCTTACTTAGTGTTGCCGCTGGTGGACGGGACGGGTTTTCCCCTCCACCCGTCATAACGGCTAGCCGCGAGGAGGCGATGTTGCCTAAATAGAGAATGTACCCGAAGGTGGTGCCCGCGCCGCGCCGCGACAGGCGCTAGGAGGGGTCCGGATGTCTTAATAACAGCAGTTCCTGGATCCCACCTATTAGAGGCGCAGAGTGGCACACCGTGTGGTTTTAGTCGGTCCGATTCCGACACATGTGATCTGCGATAGGTTATAATACAGGGTGTAACGGACATCGTAACGAATACTGAAATAGTGTATTCAGACCATGATTCTGAGTCGAAAATCATTGAAATTTTCTGCCGGTTTTTTTTATTTTCCATTATTTTTGGTTAAAAATGATATGACAATGAGTAAAGAGAACATTTTACCGATTGTTTTTTTTTTAATAAATATACGGTACGGTTAATACGGTCAAAAACTGCAATGTGACTAATCAAACAGCCAAAGCGCGCGGGGCCTCCCCTCCGCCCGCCAACTTGTGTGCGTAGACTGTTTGCACGGAATACACGTGTAGTTATTACTTTTGTGCAACACCTACGGGAAATGACCTTTACCTTTGACAGCTGATTGCATAAAAAGTTTAACTTTCCGGTAGAAAATTCCAATGGTTTTAGACTCAGAATGATAGTCTAAATACACCATTTCAGTTTTCGTTACGATGTCCCTTACACCCGATATAGTTAGACCAACTAACGTAAGATATATTATTATCGTGGAAAAGCTATGCTTTGTCACATATTGGCCATGCTCGATCTAAGCCACCAGGCCTTACAAACAACTGGTGTCAAGTAATTCTTTTGTCGAGTGAGTGAGGTTATCGGAGCCCTATTCCTCCCCTATCCCTGATTCTGGAGGGAGGGACTGAAAGGGGGGCAACACAAAAAAAGTGGGTTCATATTAGTTTTCACACTTCGATATATGTTTTCTTGAAATTAAAATGGCATTACCCTGGACTAGCAGCATTAAATATGCAATAAAATAAAGATTTATTAATATGCAAACACAAGAAATATTAAGTTGATTTAAGAGACTCTTCCTATTTGAAGTCGGTTATAAACTTTGAGTTACAAATATTTGGTCTTTTATAGTACTATGCGCAATTATTTTTGTGATATGATGCCCGTTTACTATATTCTGAATGATATTGAATAAAAGAGCACACTGAAAAACTAAGTGAGTGCCTAGTTTCTAAAAGTAAATATTCCGTTGAGTTTAAAATTTCGAATATTTAGAATGTAAGTACCTGTAATATAATAGCAACAAGCTAAAAATTTTAATATTCTAATTTGAATATTACGGAGAAATCTTCTACAAAAAGCTACAGGCATCCAGTAGGTACACGTGTTAATCTGTTACGCCAGGAAGTCTATACAATGAGAGTTCAAATTATTGTGGTAAAGAAACAATTCACGTAAAAATGTATTAATGATGGCGGAAATTTGACCACCCGATTGATAGACTCACCTGTTGTATAGTGGTTAGTGACTTAGCAGCCAGAGGCCGTGGGTTCAATTCCCACCCTGGACAAATAATTGTGTGATGAGCACGATCATTTGTTCTGTATCTGGATCTAATTCATCTATGATATGTATGCATTTAGAAATATACATATAAGTATGTTTATAAGCAGTCTGGTTACAATAGTACAACTTCTGCCTAGTTTTTAATTAGACTGGCGTGTGTGAGATGTATTATTATAGTAATACGGTCATGGTTAATAAGAGTATTAGCTGTTATAAAATGACGACAATGATCAGTGTATCGGTTGCATTACGTGACAAATGTGTAAATAACCGATGCTGTCTTAATAAACAGTTGTGTGCGTTATTAGTATTGCAACTATTGGTTTTTAATTACAATAATGCTCAATGCAATGAGTGAAATGTGTGCTTTGTATTTGAATTTGCGAATGCCTGTTATTGTTTATCATCTAATCATTGATGGGAAGAGTTTACTTTATAAAAGAAGAACTAACCTCACAGAAACACACATTCACTGCATCGTCGCTATGACTATGAATCACCAGTATTATCAATCGTGTGCAGTTCTGCTTTTTCAATACTTTATTTAAAAAAAAAAAAACAAAAACACGTAGTAGGCATTATGACCTTTTGCTCTACCCATAAAATTGTTGGAACCTGATTTAGCAGGAGTTTTAAACCTTTTCATATGTAAGACGGGTTTTGATCCGGATTTCGGTTAAATGTATGAGGATCGATACCTGTTTCTTTATAAGACGTTTCGATTAAAACTGACCACAAGTCAGTGGTTATTACTCGTTACGGTGGCAGTATGGGCTCAGAGTAAGGCAGTATCTGCTATATATGATCGCTCGATCTTTAAGGCCACAAAGAAATAAGAAAATTATTAATTATAAATAACAAATGTTACTGTGGAATAGTTGCATAATTACAAGTAGGTGTTACCTAGATTAAGATTGTTATTTATAAGCATATCTGTGTGAGGGAGGACAATACATATTATTATTATTATCATTAACGAGATACCACCTTTAGAGAACAGTCGAATATATTATGTTCAGAAATACTAAATGGAAATTAACTATATTTCTTTTTTGAAAATAATAATAATTAAAACTTAAACAAATAATGTATCTTTACCGCACTGGTACCGGTACAGTACCGGTATATTTCCATCTAAACGTCGTGTTACGAAAAACCGTATTTGTACCTTATTGTTATTGCAATTAAATCCTAATTTGCATTTCTAGTACGTACTGTCATTAAAGTTTGGCGACAATTCACAAGCCAAAATGCGCTTGTTATGGTAAGAAATATTTTTGTAGATTTTTTTATGAAGTTACATTCATTGATTAAAAATTTTAGCTTTCTGCTAATAAAATAACCTCTAAACGTGTTAACTACTCCTTTTTTTTTAAAGTACCTATCAACAAATATCTTTAACTATTTAAACACGTGTAAAACTTTTTTTTTAAATATATTTTACATCGAAATGGTTATTAATAAAAACCATTTCCATGTAAAATATATTAAATAAAAAAGAAGCAAAAAAAAATTCTGAACTGTATGAACTCGTATTTACACATCTACATA